CTTCTTCCACATGCGCAGTAAGGTGGTCAGCTCAGCATCTAGAAACTTCCTCCAGCACATCAATGATTCCCCTCCCAAATACCATGCCCCCCCTCCCACATTTCAATGGCAGCCGAAGCAGCAGCAAAGCAGAGGCTGACATTATACCTCTAGTCATCACCTTTAGCAAATCCATGTTACAGTGGTCTCCAACCTTGGCAACTTTAAGACCTGTGGACTTCAACTCCCAAAGTTCCTCAGCCAGCTTGGCTGCTTTGCTGGCTGAGGAACTCTGGGAGTTGAAGTCCACAAGTCTTAAAGTTGCCAAGGTTGGAGACCACTGTAACATGGATTTGCTAAAGGTGATGACTAGAGGTATAATGTCAGCCTCTGCTTTGCTGCTGCTTCGGCTGCCATTGAAACGGGGGAGGGGGGGCATGGTATTTGGGAGGGGAATCATTGATGTGCTGGAGGAAGTTTCTAGATGCTGAGCCTGACCACCTTACTGCGCATGTGGAAGAAGGGAGTTTCCCACCAAGGCCAACGGTCCAGCATTCCATCCTGGTGATGCTTTTCGAAGTTATCTCACACCTGACATTTGGGGGAAATATGATTGGACTATGCACAGGGATACCAAGGGGAGGGGAATGAATGATACATTATAATCTTAAGCTTTCGCGCCTAATTAACCAGACTCAGCTTTGCTTTGCAACTGTTCATTTATCATTAGTAAAAGTACACTTGATTTCAACCCAAATGGAGTCGAGTGGTTTCTTTCCTGATTACTGAATGAAGTCAAGCTGACAAATAGATTCTCCCACTGATTAATTTTTGCTCCTTGCGTTTCTCCAGGGCCATACTACTGTGGAGTTGGAGCAGACAAAGCTTATGGCCGCGACGTTGTAGAAGCTCATTATCGGGCCTGCCTATATGCCGGTGTGAACATTGGAGGCACAAATGCAGAAGTTATGCCAGCCCAGGTATAAATCCACGCTGTTAATGCTTAACCTTTCATCCCTGGAATTCTCTTTATGCATTTAGTACACTTGGAGAAGGGCGTGAATGATCGATTGATTTCATTCTGGTTCTCTTGTAGTGGGAGTTTCAGGTGGGGCCTTGCGAAGGTGTTGACATGGGGGATCACCTCTGGATTGCTCGATTCATCCTTCATCGAGTATGTGAAGACTTCGGTGTCATTGTATCTTTTGACCCCAAGCCTATTCCTGGCAACTGGAATGGAGCTGGATGCCATACTAACTTCAGCACTAAGGGCATGCGGGAGGAAGGAGGCCTCAAGTAAGTACTACTTCTTTGTTGCAAAGATGCTCTAAGGGAAGGAGAGGTTTTAAGAGGCAGGGTGAGACACAATATTACTACTACGTTTTTGAGACAATCTAGTACAGAGGTGGGTTCCTACCAGTTCACACCTATTGGGTAGAACCGGTTCGTCAAATCTACCGAACCGGTTAGAAGAGGTTCCACCAGTGGACCCGGAAAGCAGGCCACACCTACAGAAGAGGTTCCACCACTGGTCCTTGGATATGATTATACTACACTATCATGCTCATATTTATAAAACTCGGTGCCTCAGTGAAAGATAAGGATGACTACTGCGTTTGTGGTGCAATCAGAACATTGCGTGTGCTGAAGTTGTTTTAACGCAAACCAAAGATGCCTTTTAAAAAACGAGTTTGCATCCTATTCTTATGCATGCCAGTGCTGTGTGTGAGGTAATTTAAGGTGGTTCTGACAAGTGTCGTCGGCATCTTCATATCCGGTCACATGGGTGGCAAGCCACTCCCATCTGGTCACATGGGTGGCAAGCCACTCCCACAAAGGAGGCCACACCCACAGAGTAGATTCGAACAATTTTTGAAACCCACACTGATCTAGTAGTACAATAATAGTATATCACAATAAGGAACATCATCGGATACATCTGCATTGAGCATGGGGGCAAAACCCTTGCAAATCAAAAACTAAAGGCAAACTAGAATATCTTATATTATTAAGGATAATTCTGTTAGTGTGAGTATATATTTTTTATATACAAGAGTGTTTAAAATGAGCTTTGTCTCCATTGCAAAGGATGGCTTATTGTATTCTGCAAGTTGGATGAAATACTCTTTAACAAATGCCTTTTTAATTTTAAGTATGGGCGAGAAAGGGAAATCGTTTTCACAATGTTTGTTTTTTGAACATCATTAAGAAGTTTTTTAAAATATTTGTGTCAAGCCTGAATTTTTTTTTTGAGATGTGATGGATGCATTATTTGGAGCCTAACATCTTGGAGGCTCGGGAGAATGCCTAGCTTTAAACAAGTATCGAGAGCGGAGCTATTTATGTATTAGATTTTATTTTCCTTTTTAATGTTTGGCATTTTTCTGAAATATCTGCCATAAAATATGAAATAGTCTTTGCTGTATCCCAGTGAAATTGCAACGTGGACAATCTTAGCCGTCATGGCACCATGGTTAGAATGCAGTACTGCAGGCTAATTCTGCTGACTGCCAGCAGTTCGATCTTGACTGGCTCAAGGTTGACTCAGCCTTCCATCCTTCCGAGGTGGGTAAAATGAGGACCCAGATTGTTGGGGGCAATATGCTGACTCTCTGTAAACCACTTAGAGAGGGCTGAAAGCCCTATGAAGCGGTATATAAGTCTACTGCTATTGCTATATAAGGTTAAGCGCTATTGCTATTCGCAACATGAACAGCTGAGCACCCCCGGTGGCTATTTTTGGTAATGCTCTTTTTTTTTCTTCCTTCACAGACTGATCGAAGATGCCATTGAGAAGTTGGGCAAGCGCCACCAGTACCACATCCGCGCCTACGATCCCAAAGGAGGTCTGGATAACGCCAGGCGCTTGACCGGTTTCCACGAAACGTCAAACATCCACGAGTTCTCTGCTGGAGTCGCCAACCGTGGGGCCAGCATTCGTATCCCGAGAAACGTGGGCCAGGTTAAAAAGGGCTACTTTGAGGATCGGCGGCCCTCCGCTAACTGCGACCCGTACGCGGTGACGGAAGCGCTAGTCCGCACCTGTCTGCTCAGTGAAACTGGCGATGAACCTTTTGAGTACAAGAACTAAGTGGGCTTCCTCCGTTGTGCTCCTGCTCTCCTCCTGCATTTCCTAGATATTAATTGTGAGGGCATGAAATTCCATGTTTGTGCTCCCTCTCCTAAAGCTGACCCTTTTATTTCTTTGTATGCGGAGGGGGGGAAGTGTAGTCTCTTTCACTGTTCTGTCATTTGAGGGGCACAGGAGAAGACAAGTGGGATTTTACCACTATTTCATGTAATTCATCTGTATGTCTTTGACAGGGTTTCATTAGCTTCCAGGAATAGACCGCAAACTTGAGACCTGGGTTGTGGAGTGGAGATAGAAAAAGCATATCTTTGGGGCCTAATTGTTCTCCCTTCCCCCCCCCTGGATTTGCACTTCATGGGCTGTGTTGAAATTAGCAAAAGTGCAATTGCGTGCCATTCATTCACTTTGGTGAAATGAAATGGATTTGGCATCTTACCACCACTCAAAGCGTTGGTACTCAGTACAGATCCATAAGGAAGTTCTCTCAAGGGCAGGAAAACACATAGTCCTACTTTCCCCTCGGACTCCTACATGTATTTCTACATGCAGGCTTTTTTCCTGCCAGAATTGGAAATATTTTCATGTTCTTAGGTCTTAAGGCTGCATTGTTCCCTCCTTGGGATTAGAAATTGTAGATTTTATTTTAAGAAGCTGCAGAACGCTTCGATCTGTCCTTGGAAGCTAACTGATTTTCTGTTTCTAACCCAAAAGTGAAATAGTCTTTTTATATATATTTAAATGTCTAAAAACACCCTTGAAAATCGTTGTCCTTTCTTTTAAGGTACACTAATTCAACCCTTTGTTGCAAGGGTCCGTTGGTTAAGGTTCGTAGATAAAATGGGAAGGCGGGGGAAAAAGTTTGTTGAGAAGAAAAGTTAGCTATGTGCTGTCGTATTCAACAAGCAGTTTGAAGGCTTGTTGCACATAAGAGGCTGTCCGTTTACAGGCTTATAAATTAAAATAGGCATTAACTTTTAATTTAAACTAAAGCCGCTTGGCTATCTTAGGCCGAGCTGCGTGCGGCTGGCTGCAGCAACAGAGATGAGCTTATGCTTCAAATGAAGAGTTGACTGGTCAACTTTAACCATATTTTTGACGAACAATTGGCAGGGAATGGAGGGCATTAAAATTTTCGGTACAGTTTGCATTAAAGCTAGGCTTTTCAAATGGAAGGCAAAAGAGCACAGGGTGGAAGGGGGAATGGATTCTTTTTTTTTGGTTGAAAGATTTTCAATAACACATTTTTAGGAGTTTCTAAAGTTGTACAGTTTTACAGAGGCCGCTGCTATTCCAGTTAGGTACACCTTGGCACTCAAACAGACCTGCCACTTCTGCCAGGGAGATGTTAATACACATAGTTGACTTCAGAGGAAATATGAGTGGCTCAGGATTTTGTACTTTGGGGTCTCAAATTGGCACCAATCAGTTTCCGCTGCATTTGGAACTTGAGAAAGGGGGGGCCGGGAGGGGATTTGTAATAAAATAATAAAAATCCAATAGTGATTCTCTGCCTGTGTTTTTCATGACCGGTTTGCATGAATTTCGCAATAACTTGCGAAACTTGTGTGGCTCCAGTCAATCTTAACTTTACACACATCTAATACTTACGAAATATGCTCAATTGTAACCTCACCACTAGCCAGAATGTAGGTCCTCAAGCAATAGCAATAGTTAGACTTATATTAGACTTCATAGGGCTTTCAGCCCTCTCTAAGCGGTTTACAGAGTCAGCATATCGCCCCCAACAACA